CCAGAGGCTGGTTGGGCACTGCCCAGGCTCCCCAGGGCAGTGGGCACAGCCCCAAGGCTGCCAGAGCTCCAGGAGGGTTTGGCTGATCCTCTGGGGCACAGGGGGTGACTCTTGGGGATGGGCCTGTGCAGGGCTGAGGGTTGGACTCAATGATCCTTGTGGGTCCCTTCCAGCTCAGCATATCCCGTGATTCTGTGATCCTGTGAAATGCACAGTCCTTGGTAGGTGTGCAAGAACAGAGGTTACAGCTCCCCATAGTTCCCTGCTCCCTTCCTGAGCTCACAGTGCCAACACTGCTCAGCCTTGTGAATTCTGGGCTGGGCTGTGCCAGTACCAGCCCTGCCAGAGAGCTGTGCCACCACTGCTGCTCAGGAGATGAGGAAGTGCTGCAGAGCTCAGCCCTCTCCTACTGAATTAATCAGAGACATCAGCAGAATTTTAAGATGTTGCACTGACTGTAAAAAGGTGTGGTTCTTTCCAGCAAAGAGAATTTAGAACCCAAGAGAAATGGCACTGCTGGGTGATGTTCCCATCCCTGTTGCATGGGCAAGGGGAGGTGTAGCTCCTCTGTGTTCCCCTGCAAACACCTCTGCAAACAGTGCTCACATTGGATGGGGATCAGAGGGGCAGGATGGGGTAATCCCAGAAGCCACAGTTCATTTTCCAGGAGTCATCTCCAGTTGCCAAGAACACAGATCTGGACTGGAAGGAGTGGGAATGCTGGGAACACAGCAGTGCACAACCTCAGCTGCCTGGCCGGGAATGGGAGACCTTTTTATTTACTCCCTGATAATTGATTATGTCCTGAATCCTCCATAGGAGCCAACAAACAGCACAAACAAAGAGGAGAGAGAGCAGAGAAAAGCATGGCTCAAATATATTGCAGGAGTTAAAAACTGCTAAGAAACTTGGGCTGAACTGGTCCCAGAATATAAATTGCACAAGATATTTCTCCTTAGTGGAGTCCCTCAGTTCTCTGATCTTCCCCTCAAACTACATTATGCAAAAGACATCTGAAATTAGCTTTGGTCATTTCAGTTTATCACTTGTGTTGCTGAATGATGGGCAGTGGATTTCAAGGTGACTTCTCATGTGCCAGAATCTTTACAGCCTGTTCCTGACTGACTGGATAGAACAGGCAGGGAGAAGATGAACTGATTCTTCACCAGCCCATCAGATAAATGTGTGGCACTTAATTTCACACACCTCATGCAAGCAGTCAATTAATGCTCCTGCTCTGGCACTGAGCACAAATTCCATACATAGGACTGGGCTTATTGCAGCATGTCCAAACCTCCATGAAAATGGAGATCAGATACAGGTTCTGCCTGAGAAATCTGCAAAGAGATGTTACCCCAGGGTCCTTACCACACAAGCACAAAGAGGAGTAGGGACATAGTTTTGATGCTGATACAGTCTCTGTTTACTGGATAATATCTAATCAATTGTTTCCAGCCCCCTGATGAATATGATGCAGTCCCTAATCCTGCAGTCAGTCTATTAGACATGGATTGAAGTCTTCAGCAGGGAAATAATATTCCCAGAGCGATGACACTCCAGCTCTGTGCTCACTTGGGGCTATGTTCTTTTTGCCAGACAATCACCCTGTTCTAGGAGTGCAGAGATGTACATAAGCAACAGGAACACAAGAGTTTATTAAGATGGTTATTGCATTGCCAGGAGGAAATTTTCTCTATTGCTAAATTCTATAAGAAAGTGCCTTGAAATTTCTTAGAACTGGGAAAAAATGATGCTGTGGCAGAGAACTGGGCTCTTCCTTTGACTGAGCACAGAGGGCAACATGCAGTGGCTTCCAGAAACATGTGAAGTCCCTGTTCTTGATAGAGCAGCTTTCCTCCTCACCATGCTGTGCTGGTAGCATTGGGAAAACCACAGGATAGAGGATCCCACAAGATGGAGGATTCCACAGGATGGGGGATCCCATGCTGGTGCCAGACTGGTGCTTGAGAGCAGAGGAAGCTCTTCCTCCCCTCACAGTCACACCTTGGGCATAGCTGGGAAAGAAATCACTGCTGGGATTTGTTCTGCAGGAAGCTGTATTGGGAGGAAGCTCATGGAGCAGCAGAGTGTAGGGAATCAGTGTGCCAGGGACAGGAAAGAGCAAGAGTTGAGTTTGGTGCCATGGTGGTTGTAATTCCAGAGTCAATACATGGGTGACATAAACACAAACAAAAGCCAAAGCACTCATTTGGCAAGCACCCCCCAGATGTAATGAACAGTACAGGACATGGGGCTGTCTCTCCTTTATGAAGATTATCAACAAATTAAGCCATTTCTGGTGAGCCAATCTCATGGTATTCTTATTATTGCCTTGCTAAGAGCTGAAATCAATACAGGCTGTGGTCTGTGATGAGTGAAAGGACCTCAAAATCAGTATTTCCCTTGTCTGTAGAAAGCAGAGCAAGTGTTCCAGCTTCTCTTGCAGTTTCATTGATCCTCCTGTTGTCACCTTTACCAAAAGGAAAAGGATCACCTTGGATTAGTCAATCACTGTGGTTTAACCTCAGCTGGCAAATAAACCCCACGTAGCCACTTCACTGCCCCACCTGTGGGTTGGGGGAGAATATCAGAAGGTTAAATGTGAGAAAACTCCTGGGTTGAGATGAAGACAATTTAATAGTCTACAACAGTCTTTAACAGTTCCACCTTCCTAGGCAGGGGCAGAGGAGGGGCAGGGACTGAGCTCTGCTCTGGGGGGACCAGGGACAGCAGCCAGGGAATGGCTGGAGCTGTGTCAGGGCAGGCTCAGGTTGGATCTCAGGCAAAGGTTCTTCCCCCAGAGGCTGGTTGGGCACTGCCCAGGCTCCCCAGGGCAGTGGGCACAGCCCCAAGGCTGCCAGAGCTCCAGGAGGGTTTGACTGATCCTCTGGGGCACAGGGGGTGACTCCTGGGGATGGGCCTGTGCAGGGCTGAGGGTTGGACTCAATGATCCTTGTGGGTCCCTTCCAGCTCAGCACGTTCTGTCATCCTGTGACTCTGTGACATCAGACCTCTGGTAGGTCCTACCTCACTCCTTTCAGCCCTTTGTGGGTGTCTGAGATGCCCTGGAATGACCCAAATGGTTCAGGTGGCTCCGAATTGAGCACTGGGCTTGTGACTCTGTGAGAGCTCTGTGAGAGGAGGGCTCTGCCCACGCTGCCTTTGGGAGATCATGGTCAGGGTTGTGCTGGAAGACAAGACTGAATCAGCCTTGTGTACAACGTGTGTGCAACGTGAAGGGTGGGTGACAGGAGGTTTAAAACATCCTGGGGAAGTCACAGTGGGAGAAAAGTTGTGAAGGCAGCACTGGATCCCCACAGACAGACACACAGGGAGCTGCTGGGCTCATTGCCAGGCAGCAGAGAGCACCAAGGACACAGTGAAATGAGAACCTCAGAGAGGAGGAAAATGTTCTGCTGTCCAGCAAAGAGGGCTCCACACAGGAGGAAGGCAGCAGGGGAGGGGGTGGCCTGACTCCTGTAAGTATTTTTTGAAGTAAACAATTTAACCTCTAACCCAGATCTAGAAAAATATCTGTGAAATACCTGCACCGTATTTGGGTGGATTTTGTCTTGAATTTTTCTGGGAGATGGGAGAAGTTGGCAAATGAATGGACACTGCACAAAGCCAACACATTTGCTGAGGTGAAATTCCCCTGCTCCTCCGTTATTTTGGTTAGAATCTGTGCTTTGGTCTCAACCAGCCCACGGTTCAGAGGAGCCCAGAGGGGCCTGGAGGCTGGTAAGGGCACCTTGAACACACATTGCATTGCTCTTCATGGGTACATTTTAGGGCTGTACAGCAGGAACTTGTAAACCCAAGGCTTGGACATCCTGCTGCTCCCCAGCTGTTGCAGAGGATTTAGCCTTCTGATTTCATTGTCAGGCCATATTTGAAGTGGCCACTGGTTTGGCCTTTTGACACAGCTAATGCAACCCCATCACTGGTATGAGCTCCCACAGAGCCCACTGCAGTCTGTTCTAGCTTTGCTTCCAATAATTGAAGTTCTTGCTTTGTTAAACACTTTCACATCTGCCTGTTTTAATATCTGAACACCTGGGAGTTATAAATGCAGTTCAACAGGTCCCTGTCCCTTGGCTGAGCTGATGAAAGCTCATTTTCCAGCCTGCAGCAAAGGAACAAGGGCTCAAAACCCTGCAGATAGTCTGGACTTGAATTTTAGCATCTAGGCTCAGTGCTAATCTTTATTGCCAGTGCCCTCAGCTTTAGATCTTGACAGGGCACTGAAACACTGGCTGGGGACTCCCTCAGTGACCAACAAAATGAACATCAGTAGAGGGGCACCTTCAACCCGTCAGGTGTGGGGCACCCTCATGCACCCTCCAACCCTCATAGACAGCACTTTCCTGCCTCAGGGACCTCTCAAACACCTTGCCTGGCCATCTGACTGCACTCAGATGTGCTACCTTAGTCCCACTTCACACTCCCTGAGTGCAGGGGAAGCAAGAACATCCCAGATCCCACCAGAACGTCTGGGGCCATGGACCAGTGTTTCCCAGGAGCCTCCAGGCTTATGGCATTAACCAGAGGTCCGGCACCATGAGAAAGCAATTTGATTATCAGCCCCAGTTAAAGTGACCCCATAGGCTTGTTTCTGTGTCTCTGGGGGTGGGCAGAGCACAGTTTGTGGGGGTGAAGGTGGGTGATGCTGCCTGAGCTGGTTCAGGCTGCACTGGGGTCAGTCCACAGCCCCCCTTGGTGAGTGGGTGACTGACAGCCCAGACCCCCCTCCCCCCGAGCTCCAGGTGCTCTGGAGGCAGCAGTTTGCTTCTCTCCATAATCACTGTGGACAAGGAAATATCTCCACAGGATCCATTTCTCTGCTCTGCCGGTGCCAGGTTGAATTGTGTCCAGGATCCTGTCACTGGGGCTGGCTCTGGTACAGCTTCCCTGCCTGCTGGAGTCTGGGAATGACTTGCTTCTCTCCTCTCAGTTTGGTGCACACCATAGACCTGCCTTTCTCTGTTGTTTTTTTGCAGACAAGCCACGAATGAACAACATCCTCACTTCTGCCACCGAACCCTACGACCTGTCCTTCTCCAGGTCCTTCCAGAACCTCTCTCACCTCCCACCATCCTATGAATCTGCTGTCAAGACGAACCCGAGTAAATATTCTTCTCTGAAGAGACTAAGTAGGTGTCAGCTCATTTCATTTCCTTTGTATCTCTTTGTTTTGAGCCTCACTGGGCTCAGTGTTCAGCCAATAACCTCCTCCCTCTGCTCTGCTCTCCCGGGTTGGCAACTCCAGTAATGATTCCTTTGGCTGTCACTTCCCATCAAGGATGAGGAGAGGCAAAGAGTCATTTCATTACTAAGAGAGTACATGTGGTTATTTGCTTACTGACCTCCTTGCTGTGCTGCCTCCCACTCCTCCACCTCAGTCTGCTCCTGATGGAGTCCGCTGAGAATCCTTTTTTTCTCTGCTGGAATCCAGGAAGGCTGAGGGGACTCAGAGCTCACCCTGGCACCCCAGGGCAGGTCTCTCCATCCACAGGAGTAGCTGGAACCAGATAACAGCAGAAAGCTGCTGAGATTTTTGGGAACATCTGTGTCAGCAGGTGACATCCCTGGGCAGTGCTGTGATCCCTGTGTTCCATGGGGTGTGTGCCCAGAGCTGGTCTTGGCCTGTGCCCTGCACTGATCCAGTGGTTTGGGTATTCCAGCACATTTCTCTATTCACACAGGTCAGGATCTCTCCTGTCTTGCTCTTTCATGCCCTGTTCTGCCAACAGTCTTGTAATGCTGCAGTTCATCACCTCAGTGATGACAAACTTCAGCTTCAGTGGGATTATGAAACAAGGGATTGTTGTGCAGGCAAATGCTCTGTCCAGACTCACCCTGGGTCTGCAGTTGGATGTTTCCATGAGCAGTTTCTGGATGCAGCCATGTATTTCCAGTGCCTAATTTAGAGAAATAACTTAGGTGTTTATACTTGCAATACCTTCACTGAGAGAAGGTGAGGATGAGGAGCAGATCTAACTTCCTTAGTCTGAATAAAACTTGCATTCCCAATTTAGCCAGTTAAGTGAGACACACACAATTAAGTGGCAGGGAAGCCCTTGGATTTTCCATAAGATATATCTGTGGAATATTTTTCAGAAGAGACAAAGGAAATGTAGCACAAAAAACCCCTCAGTCCATTCTTTGACACTTCAACATGGGACTACATACCTGTTTAATATTAAGTCAAATGCATTTGGTGTGCTTAAAAGTAAACATGTGCTTAACTGTGTTGGAGAACAGAGCTCAGGTATTTGGAGATTGGAACCTGCCACCTCCATCAGTCAGTTTGCCATGTGCCATGTTTCCCTAGAAACATTTGGATCTTACACTCTCAACCAAAAGAATTTCCCCCCCACTGTATCCCACTGATGAACAGTCCATGTTCATGGGTGTAATATCTGATATTGGAAACCCCTTGAAATCGTGGCACTGTAATATTACTGCTTCAAAATATCCCCGTTTCGAGGTGAGAATTTATTTTCATTTCTCAGCTGAAATAAAAATTTCCCAACACATGAAATATAGCCCCTGGAGACACAGGAACAGGTTGCCCAGAGAAGCTGTGGCTGCCCCATCCCTGGAAGTGTCCAAGGCCAGATTGGACAGGGCTTGGAGCAACCTGGGCTAGTGGAAGGTGTCCCTGCCCATGGCAGGGGGTGGGACTGGATGAGCTTTAAGGTCCCTTGTAACCCAAACCATTCTGGAATTTTACAATATCATTCTATGGTTTCACAAACATTTGTCTAAAATGACAAAAGTTGTGTTAAGCTGCCAAGATTGAATGTTCTCAACAATGTAATGAGCAGTCAGTGCTCCTCTCCTGAGCTTTTCCTGACTCTCTGGGCCATTCCTTTCCCTGTTACTGTTCACTGGATCCCTGAGAGTCAACATGAATTCAAGAACATCAGAGTTTGTCTTTGACCATTGCCTTGAGTGGGGTTCAGTCACCCCCTTAAATATTCAGCACCATCAACCCTAGAAGTGGAAACACCAACTATTCCCCCTCCAGGGCAGGTGTGGACAGAGCTCAGGGATCTTTGCAAGGCACCAACGCATCCTCTTGCAGAGCACCTGGTAAATGCCAAACCAAGTGCTTGGCACTGTGTTTTTGAGTAACTAAATAGACAGTTTGGACTCTGAAAGTGCCAAGCACTCCCAGCTCCCACTGGGATTGAATACATTCAGCACCTCCAGAATCACTGAATCACTTTCTTACAGCTGCTCTACTCCAGAGCCAAAGGAAAACAGGCACAGAGCTCCCAGAACTTCCCTTGGAAAATACCAGCAATATAATTTTCTTATTCCATGTGAAGGAGCTAAAGGTAACACAAAGAATGTAATATTTAAATGCTGGAGTTTGAAAATTATTTATTAGGAGTTCATTGTTCATATTTAAAATTACTTCTTTCCAATGAACTCCCTGTTTGGGTTAAAAAAATAATAAAAAAAAAGTTAATGAAGAGCTCCTTAACAAATAAAATATTTCTGTTTAAGTAAAATAAAAGGCAATAGATACTTTTTAAATCTATGTTTCAGCTGCTGGTCTGCATTTCTTTGGGTTTGCCAGGCAGGTAAATGTTATTTATTTTCCTCCAGTTAGCAGAGACAGGTAGTGAAAGACAATTTCTGCCCAAGAATATTGAATAATCAATTAAGAAAAAAATAAAATTTAGTATCTCTTTGCCAGAGATAAGGACAGAGCTCAGCAATGGCACGGTCAGCTCCACCTCAGCCACCTTGACCACAGAGCCATCAGGGATCCTGTGTCTGTTCAGTGCTGGGATCAGGGAAGGACAGTCCCCTGTGACCCCTCGGAGGGTCCCAGTGTCTCTGACACCAGAGCTGCAATCAGGGGCTGCCCAGCTCTTTGCTGGAAAATAACCCCAGTTTACAATGCCCAGGGGGGCCAACCCTGTCCTGGGGCATCAGGGAGGGGATTGTCCTGCTCTGCTCTGCCCTGGGGCGGCCTCACCTCAACATTGGGGCAGTTTGAGGGGACACAATGGAAGGAAGAGATTGAGCCATTGGAGAGTGTCCAAAGGAGGGAAGGAGGATGGGGAAGGGCCTTGATTTGAAGGTGTGTGAGGACACTGAGGGCACTTGGTGTGTTCAGCTGGAGAAGAGGAGACTGAGGGGAGACCTCACTGCAGTTCCACCTTCCTGGGCAGGGGCAGAGGAGGGGCAGGGACTGAGCTCTGCTCTGGGGGGACCAGGGACAGCAGCCAGGGAAGGGCTGGAGCTGTGTCAGGGCAGGCTCAGGTTGGATCTCAGCCAAAGGTTCTTCCCCCAGAGGCTGGTTGGGCACTGCCCAGGCTCCCCAGGGCAGTGGGCACAGCCCCAAGGCTGCCAGAGCTCCAGGAGGGTTTGGCTGATCCTCTGGGGCACAGGGGGTGACTCTTGGGGATGGGCCTGTGCAGGGCTGAGGGTTGGACTCGATGATCCTTGTGGGGCCAGCACATTCTGGACTCTGTGGGCTCCCTGCTGTGTCCCTGGCCAGTGGCACTGCACTGAGGAGGGAGCTTCCACCTCTGGGCACTCACCTCTCCTGCCATTGCACTGAGAAAGCAGCACCGTGGCTTCTCCTCCTTCCAAAGCAAAGGCTTGAAGGTGCCCCAGGCCTTTAGGAGCAGTAGGAACAGGTTGCTGACTGCATGGAAGCCACTCAGAACCAAGTCCCATGGGAGCTTTCTGCTTCCAGGGCTCTTTACTTCCCCAGCTCTTCCTTCAGGGCACAGACAACAGGAAACCCCACCCAGTGTTTGCTCCCAGAGGTAGGAAGGTCTCTGAGGGGCTGGGTACCCCCTCCATGGGAAGACCTACTCCAGCCCTGCCCTGGCAGCCCTGCAAGGTGGGAAAAGCAGTGGTGGGTGGGTGTGGGAACCTCTGGCTGAGCAAGAGCTGCCCTATTAATTACATCCTGCCCAGAGCTCCAGGGAATTGCTCTTTCCAAATAAGTGAGAAAGGTCAGTCAGGAAGGAAGGTGATATTTTCAGGCATATTAAACCACTTGGTTTTGGCTAAAGAATCTTCACAAATGAATAGGCAGCTTCAAAATGTTAAGGCCAATTAGAACAGGAGGTACAAGCCAGAAGAGAGAATATGTTGGAGCTGCAGAGAAAGAAAAACAGAGGAACTACCTTTAAGAAAAGCAAAGGAATTACTCTAATGGCCTCACACACACACATACACACGTGCACCTACTTTCACCACGTTAACTACAACCACAGGAAGCAAAAATCCCCTTGGCTTTTCCATATTCTCTTCCCAGATCACCAAAAATGTTCCTTGTTTCTCTAATTCCAGTGTCAGAGGAGCTGTGCTCTGCCTTAGACATGTTGAAGTGTAATGTGTGAGTAAGAGCACTTAGAGAGCACTTATTTGGGGATTTCCCCACAAATGGGAGGAAAAAACCCCCAAAAAGCAGTCTAAGGGAAAATCAGTTTATCCTAAAATCAAGGCAGTTGAAGCACTCAAATACTCCTGAAATTTGGTGACATCAGCCCTGGTCAATGTTCCTGAAACTGCCAAAGGAGGAAAAAAAGGGCAGAAAAAAATCCAACTAAAACCAATGAAAAAAGCCCAGAAAGTGTGCAGAAAACATGATTTCCAGGTCCAAATGTTTGAAAAACACAAGTGATGACCCAGAACAATGGGACTGACTTAAAAAAAAGAGAAATTTTTGTCAATCAATACACCAGTGATTTCTTTTTGTCTGCTCACAATTTCTGGCCTTTTGGAATCCACTTTTTTGAATTTTTAAGCACATCCTTGATGGAGAAACATATGGGATTGTGCAGAGTCTCCATCTCCTTGATGGAGAAACATACTGGTAGTTTTATTTTGCCTGAAACTACAGTTGTCTGTTCTCATACCAATGACAAGATAAGGAGCAGTGGTATGAGAGCCTCAGTGTCCCAGTATAATGAGGATGAGATGGATCAGGCTGGAAGGTGGCCCTGCCCGTGGTAGGGGGTGGAATGAGCTGATCCTTAAGGTCCCTTCCAATCCAAACCATTCTGTGATTCTGTGATTTCTGTTCCCAGGGAGAATTTGGTTTTAGCCAACTATGAAACCAAACGTTCCCAGTTCCCACCCCAATCCACTGGAGCCTCCAGTCTCCAAAGCCTGGGGCTGTGTTTGGTTCCTGGCTGTCCCTGGGTGCACAAACACTGTGGTTACAGAGCTGTGCTGAGCTTGTCTCTTGTCTCTTGGCACGTGTGTGCTGCAGAACCTTGGCCTCCTGTCAGGCTTCGTTCTCCACCACTGGCTCACACTGACACCACCTTTCAGAGGCAACAGCCTGGTAAAAGTCTGTCTGGTGCCTGCCTAAACCAGCTTGTTGTTCATGAGAAACTGCTGTTTCAGCTTTGATTCCTTTGAGGCGGAGATGTGAAGCGTGTCTACACCAGGAAACCCTCCCAGAGTAGCTGTGCCAACATCCACACGTGTCCCTCAGCATCATGGGGGGCACAGCCTGTGTGAGCTTAGAATAACCTTTGAAATGAAATCAGCTCCCTAAAAGGTTTAGCCATGGCCAGCAAATGGCTGTACAGAGTTGTACATGGGATGGGAGAGGGGAAAAAAGGATATTTTTAATGCTACTAATGGAAAAAAAAATTTAAGGCGTAGAAATGCTGGGGGTTTAATCTAAATTAGCAAGGAACAACTTCAAACCACTTTTCATCAGCTGATTCACCTCACTAAAGCAGCCTCAGACGCTGCAAACCTCACATAAGCTGGTTTAGCTCCTGTTGGCAATTACCACAGCCAGGTATGGGCATCCCAGCACATCTCCATTTGGGATGTTCTCTGCTTTAATTACATCTATTTAGAGCCACTTGGGCAAATCCAGTGGAACTCCTCTCATCCAGAGCAGAGGCCAAGTGCCAGAGTTGTAATTGCTTCATTTCTATTCTGCAGCCAGCCCCAAGCACCAGTACCAAGCCTGTGCACACGAAGTGGGGCATTTCTATAGAAATAAACTATGGAATAAAAATGCCTACACTTACTGTGGCCATATGGAATTTCCCCAGTCCTTCTCAGGCTTCCTCAAGGGTGATTTTAAAGACAAAAGTGTTTGAGACCAGAGGAGCTGCTGTCTGATATTTGCCATGAGATACTATTCCAAGAAGTTTTTGATTGCAAAAAACAAAGACTCATTCCTCCAACATGTGCTCTGGAGAGCAAATCCCAGCAGCAGGAAGTGTGCCAGAGCAGGAGAGCTGTGGGTGACCTCAGCCTTCGTGGTGTGTGGGCTGCAGAGAAGAGTTTGGCAGCAGTGATGGTGCCAACAGGCCCTTGCACGTGTTCTCAGTTTGTAAATTTGTGTGCTGAGATGGGAACCAACCACCCTGCTCACAGATCTTCTGGACTGTGCAAGGGCCCATGAGGAGCAGGGTCCAGGGAACAGTGAAGAGAATGTCTGGGAGAGGAGATAAGTGTCACACATAAGTGACATCATCCAGCACAGGGTGCTGACAGCTCTCCAGGGCTGGAGAAGACATTCAGGCACCATTGGGTAACTGTGCTCTTCTCTGTGGGGACCAGTGACAGGACCTGAGGGAGTACTATGAAGTTCTGTCAGGGCAGGCTCAGGTTGGATCTCAGCCAAAGGTTCTTCCCCCAGAGGCTGGTTGGGCACTGCCCAGGCTCCCCAGGGCAGTGGGCACAGCCCCAAGGCTGCCAGAGCTGCAGGAGGGTTTGGCTGATCCTCTGGGGCACAGGGGGTGACTCTTGGGGATGGGCCTGTGCAGGGCTGAGGGTTGGACTGGATGATCCTTGTGGGTTCCTTCTGACTCAGCAGATTCTGTGATTTTTGTGAGCAAACTCTGGGATGGTGTCAGCACCCCCTGTGCCACCTGAGCTCTGCCTCATGGGACACCAGCCAACTGTCTTCAACTCTCAGCCAGCATGGTGCATCAAACCAACAGATTTATGGCTATTTCAGAGGAGAGAGGAAATTTCCACCCATATTTCACTTTTAGGCCTGTTGGATGCCTACAGAAAGTGGGACCACCTCCCTTACCCAATTCTGGATTGCCCAGACTGTCCTGCAGCAGAGCTTTGCTCTTTTTGTCACTCAAACAACGTTCAGAATCTCTATGCACATGAAATTCTCCTCTTCTATCATCTGATACTTTTCCATCTCACATCACCTACTACAGAATGAAATATTGGAGCTGAGAAAATCAATGGTGTCCCTCTTTATTATCATTATCATTATCATATATCTTTATCATACTTGTCTTATAAGCAAAAGACTTTCCAAAGGAATTTCATGTCAGGTCCCAGGAGCTGGCCAAGGACGTGTAGGACAGGATGTCTTTGCCAATCAACACTTAGCTCAAGTTGGTAGGGACAGTGCACACTGGGTCTCGTGGGTGTGTGTTCCCAGCTCTGTGATCTCCATCCCAAGATGCTCCTATGAGGTTACTTCTCAAGAAGATTGTTTCCTCTGGAAGGTGGAGAAACTTGCTGTACCTGTCCATGTGGAGTCCCCTTCCTACACACCAGTGAGGGTTGTGTTGTCTTCTCCAAGGAGAAGAGGGCTGCCTGCCAGGTGTCTGGGGTGGGGCTCACTCTAGGGTCTTCTGGAGCCAGAAAGGATGGAGGTGCTTCTGGACACACCAAGGAAATATCTCAGACAAAGAAATGAGGAAGGAGGCTCGTAGAGGTGATCAGTGTTGAGCATTAAACATTCTCCATCCCCTGACCCCTGACAGAGGCCAATGTTGTGCTCTTCTCCTTGTGACAGAGACCATTCTGGTGAGGGACTGATGTCCTGTGCTTTCATCTCTGCAGCCACAGGCACAGAGGGAAGTTCTCCCTCCCCTCAAGTACCTCTCACCTCCTGACCTTAATGACATTTCCTTACAGGCTGCACTGGGCTTGAAGCCCAAGAACTGCTAAGCCTCCTTCCAGGTAAGTAATCCCAGTTTACAGCATATGAACATCAAAGGGGTTAACCAGGAAGTTTTTGTGTTTCTGTTGTTTAAAAAAAAAAAAAAAATCTGAAACAGTTGTGGAATTGCTTCTTTTAATTAAATGTTGGTTGAATCAGGTCATTCCAGCTGTAGGATTTAAGTGGTCTAACATGGTACAGCTGCAGGAGCCAACACTGAGTCTCTAGTGTTTCTCTAAAAGCCAAAGAGAGGAGGGTGAGTGTGTGGAGGGGGGTGATGAGTTTCTGAGCAAAAGAGATCATTTAAGATGCAGAAACAGCAAATTGAGCACGAAACATTCCATGGGATAAATTCTATCAAACGAAGGTGTCTGAGAAAATGGAAACTGAAACCTTAGGCAGGTGTTTCAGTGTCTCAGTGAGAACATCCAGTGACTACCAAACCTGTTTTGTGATCACATTTACAACTATTCAAAAATGGTAATTAAAAATGTGATGATGTCACTCATGGACTCCAGGGAACATCCATGTCTGAGGCCAGAGATGAGCTGTGCATTCCCTCAAGTGGGGGGACTGTCCTGCTCAGCTCACCTGCCCTGTCCTTGCTTTAGAAGTGTATTGAGAAGGTGACATTTGCTACTTTCTCCATAACTCGCCTTTTGTGTAAATCACGTCATACCAAGTCTGGACTGGATGGCATGTGGGATCTGTTGTTTCATGGTGTAGGAAGGTGGGTGTTTGCACAGGGACTCCCCCCATCCCCATGCAATTCAAACTCTCTGGGGTCTCTCTGACAGGCAGCTCCTGACATGGGTGGTTGATGGTCCCTGAGGTGTCCCCAGGAGGCCGCTCCAGGGCTGTGTGCTGTGCACAGTTCCCTTTCCCCCTGTGGAACAGCACTGTGACATTCCTAAACCACTCCCTTTCCCTCCCCACAGCTGACAAGGAGGCTGACGAGTACTACATGAGGAGGAGGCACCTGCCCGACCTGGCGGCGCGGGGGACGCTCCCCATCAACGTCATCAAGATGTCCCAACAGACCAACCACCGGGACAGGCCCCGCCGCCCCATCCGGGCCATGTCCCAGGACAGGGTGCTGTCCCCTGAGAGGATCATGCCCGAGGAGTTCAGCATGTCCTACGAACGGATCCTCTCAGACGAGCAGCTGCTGTCGGCCGAGCGCCTGCACTCCCAGGACCCGCTGCTGTCCCCGGAGCGCTCGGGGTACCCCGAGCAGTCCATGTCCCGGGCACTGTCCCACACGGATGTCTTTGTGTCCACACCCGTCTTGGATCGCTACAGGATGTCAAAAATGCACTCCCATCCCAGTGCCTCAAATAACTTGTACAACACTCTGGGGATGACCCCCACCTCGGCCAAGCGCCAGGCCTTCGCCTCGCGCCGCCACAACACCGTGGAGCAACTGCATTACATCCCCGGCCACCACCACCACTATCGCACGGCCAGCAAGACTGAGGTGACTGTGTGATAGGACCTCGGGCCTTGTACATACTCTGTAAGGACTGGGGGTGGCCACAGCACCCCACACTGCAGTGGCCTTATAGGCCAAGGTAACCTCTACTAACTCAGTGTCTGCAAAGACTTCTCTGACAGTCCCATCCACGTTGTTTTTAAAGCCACCCCTCCATCGGTGACATGAGAAGAACCCAAGCAAGCCAACAGACAATAGTGAGGGATAATAGAGGAAATTTTCCTGATGTGCATCAGTTTCTGTCAAAGAAAGCCATAGTAATCGATGGCTCCTTCCAAGGGCTCACCTGCATCATCTCATTGTTCCCATGAATTTAGGACTTTTCCGTTGCTCCAGGTAGAAGCAGTCCCATGCAGCCCAAGGTAGAGAGGAGGAAACACAGCACCCCATCCTGTCAGGAAGGGGCTTGTCCTCATGTTTGGTCTTTCTGTAGCAAGGAGGGAAGTTCTGGCTGCTGGGGGGTCACCCCCAGGCTGCTCGACACCAGTCAGCACCCACACATCTGTTCCTTGTCACCCTTGGAGCAAGTTCAAGGGCAGACTTTCCTTGGGGACTGGCAGATCTAGGGACAAGAATAGCCTGGCTGAGAAATAAACTTTTAGTATATACTAAATATACTCATAAGATACAAACATACTAGTGCCTACAAATCGCCTGCTCTCTCAGTGTAGGAAGTAGTGGGGTTGATGTGTTCAATAAGCACAAATACGCTGAAATGCTTGTTTCCCTTTCCTCCACTCATCATTCTAATATCTTGGTGTCTCCAACATGTAAATAGGAAGGAGGAATAGGGTTTCTCTTCCTCCAGCTTCTTGCCACTGCTGAACCTAAAGCACCAGAATTCGTTCAGCTTCGCCCTGCTGAGCCGTGCTGGGGAGGTCCCAACTGCACCAAGAGCCCTGCAAGGCCAGGCTTCCATCCCTGCCCCTGAGCCTGGATCTCTCCTCAGAATCTTTTCCTGACAGCATTTTCCACTGGCCCAGGTCCCCTGTTTCTGAACACATTTTCTCCTCTCAGTTACAACCCAGAACTCCTTATGTAGCAAATCTTTCCCCAGCCCTCAGCAGAAGCACAAGACTGGGGGTGTCTCTGCCCAAAAGCAGGTCGGTAACTTTCCATGATGTTCTCTCCATGTGATGGCCTCCCAAGAAAACCTTCCAAATTCCAATTCCACTGAGTACCAATCCTAACCATGAAGACAGTTACATTTCATGCATATAAATTATATATCCAGCATAATTATAATTAATGGGCATGTTGTATATCTGATATAATGCTAATTAGATACTGTATATTTGTAAAATCTTTAAAACAGAGACTCGTGGGTCCAGAATTTGTGAGGGTTTTATCCTTGGCTTTCCAGCCAGATTGGGCTTTGCTTTGGTTTTTTTTTGTTTTGTTTTTGTTTTGTTTTTGCGTTGTTGTTGTTGTTGTTGGATTTGGGTTTGGTTTTGCTTTATTATTTTTTTCTCTTTTATTTGTGTTCCTATCAAATTCTGTAGAACTAACTCACATCAGAACACACTTCTGTGACCGGGAAAGGGTCTCAGAGGTTTGGAAGGCCAGCCAGACCCAGTGCTGTAACTCCTGGTGCTGGACCCTGTCCATGGTGTGCCCTGGGGGTCCCACCACATGCTGTCCACGCTGCCCGTCCCACCGGCAGCCACGCTCCCTCCTCTGGGTGGCACGACTAATTCAGGCTGTAAGAACATTCCTGGACACTTCTCCTCATGTCCTACATTTCCAATTAAATCTTTTCCTACATTAAACCTCACTGAACTCAGCTCTGCCCTGGTCCCTCCCCTCAAATACCTCCCACCTCCCGGCCTTAATGATGCTCCCAGCTCCACATGCCAAGTCCTGTAGCAAACAATGATTGGGAGCTTGAGTCTCCTCTGGAGGTTTATGAGTCTCCTGTGGAGGTTTCTGATGCAGCACCAGGTTTGTCAGGGTAGGCAGGAGGAGCACGTCCTTATCCCAGTGGGATTTAGAGGCAGGCCTTGGTGGGGTGGCCACATGGGTCTGTTGGTATGAGTTCCAGAGCTTTATTCTGCCCCATCAGATGGAGACTGTGCTGAGAAGGATCCATCAGTGAGAGGTGCTGGGGCTTTGTTTGACGGAAACTGAGCTGGAAAGGAATAAATAACAGTCTCCATGGTTCAGATTTGGCAAAATCATTCTGAGCAACAACCAGAACTGTCTGTGGATCAGAGTGGCAGTTCATGGCATGGGAGGGATGAGAGAGAAAAGGCTCACACCTCCTCTCCTGCCCTTCCCCTGAGGGAACCACTCTCCCCTGACTACCTCCAAGCTCCTCAGCTCAGTCACTGGATATTTCCTCCCAGAAGACAATCCCTGGGACAATATTGCCCTGTGCTGACCTTCCCACAGACCAGTTTGTGACTCTTGTGAGGATAAGAGACACTAAGAGGGCTGATGGGGAGTCAGTCCCTGATGAGGTTCTGGGGCTCTTCCATTCACTCTTGGCCCAAGAAAGGCCAGGATTTCCCCTCTCCAGGCAGGGAGACATGAACACTGTGGGAGAGGAGAGGCCACCCCAGAGTCTGCGGGAGCTGTGGTGGCAGAGCCAGAGGAGCAGAGGTGGCAGTGTGAGGCCATGGGTAGGTGAACACTCCTCTCTTTCCATTCCCATAGCTGTCTGTCTCAAGCTCTAGTCCTTGTCTAAATGTTCCATTTATGAGCTAAGAAGTTGCTGGACCAGATGCAGATTTGGGAATTTTTCCCTCAAGCAACCCATGCAGATGCTGAGCTGTGCCCGTGTCATTTGACCTCGGGGTCTTCTCTTATTCTGCCTGGCAGATATCACCAAGCCCTCTGGCAGATATCACCAAGCCCTCTGCCAATTGTCCTATCTGGGCAACAACCCTCCAAAGAAAATTAAGCCCCATTTCCTTGTCTTTTCCACCCACTCAACTGTTTTAAGCAGATGTGTCCCACCCTTTTTGGGCCAAATCTCTTCAGGGACTCTGCCACCACCACAGAAAGTTTTCAGCAAATTTTCTTGGGAAGGAACAATGCCCTTGATACCAGTGGGGCACGCTGTGCTCCCATGGCTTGCTTTGTGTGCTGGGCTGGGTTGGGAGATGGGGCAGTGATGTTCCAGCACACACAGGTGTTCTTTGGTTATTTTTTTTCCTTATTCCTCACTCTGGGATTTTGTCACTGAACAAATACTTGCTCTGTGACCGGGTGTCGTGTCCCACAGCCTGATCCCAGCACTTCAGTTCCCTGTGATGATAATGGGAACACCTTCCAGTTCCACAGAGGCTTCAGACCATGGTGTGAAGGGCTTTGAGACCCTCTCACAGCAGAAACTGTAGAGCAGCAAAGTGTTTTTATGACTATTGTTTGTCATTGTCCTGACACATCGTGTGTGATGTGTTACAATCCTGTCTGCCCAGAAAGGGAGTGCTGGGGTGGGCAGATGCTGCATCCCAGATTTCCCATTGCTCTCTTTCTGGCCAGGGTCCCTGGGAGGCACAGCTCCAAGGGGTGCTGCCACCTGCACTGGGACCTCTCTGCTTTCTCCTCCTCGTGTCTGAGTCACCAGGACATCCTGCACTCAGGAGAAAGGCAGGAAGCAGCCACATTCCTCTGTACAGTGAAATAGAATCTGCCTTGATTAATCCAATATACTCTGAAGAATTGAGCTTTTTCTTCAACCCACAGGTGGAAACACCCCTGTGGAGTGTCCAGTTCCCTGAGTGCATGTGCAGGGACCAGGAGACGGGGTATAGAAAAGTTTATATTATTTCCTAAAAACTGATCATTATTTGCATTCCCTGAGCAGCAACAAAAAACAGTGCTCTGCACTGGGATTTATACACCAATCTCATGTGTGTGTATGTATATGGACACAAATATATATACACATACACACTGCAAAATGCAATCAGTAATTCTGACTGACCCTGTATCAATCTAAGCTTCAAACTACATCAAATCACTCTTTGAAATGTGGCAAACTACTTTTAATGAACCACACAGAGCACCACATGGAACAGAATTTTGACATAAAAAGTCTTCTAATGCCAGTGACTCATGTTTTAAGGAAAAATGAAATATTTTTCAATGTTTTAACGTTCCTTTTATAAATGATGATCTGTTATTTGGATATGGGAGTGGGTGGGAAGAAACAGGGACAGTTTTCTGGTAGCAAGCTCTCCTTTCCTGGCCTAGATTTCATTTCTGTCTGCTGTTCTGGAACCTGGCTGGCTACAAAGCTGGTCCCATGAACCTGGGCTTCGTGCATGCATCTTTCTGTTCCTGTATCCATCAGAGGCATTCCCACCAGGAATCTGCAAGAGCCTGGCATGTTTTTTGTAAGAGATGGACAGTTCCTGGGAGCTGGGACATGTCTTCACCTTCTTCCACCACTGCAACCAAACTCATCATGAAACAGGGTAACTTTAATTGTGTTTGAAATATGTGTTCTACTTTGTGATCAATTTGTCATCTTCAGTTCATGTGATGGAGAAACAGCTTGTGTTGGTTTTGTTTCAGATTTAGTGTTCATGTGGAAGGAGGGACTCTGCTGAAATATATCTCACACGTACAGGTTGGGGTATATTTCCAATGTGTGAAAAGTAAGGGGAATATGTGAGAAAGGGGCTGAAATATTTTCATACCAAGTGTTGTAGCAATAAGGCTGTGCTGGGGCTGCTCCTCAAAGAGCAGCCACTTTGTGCTGTCTGTCAGCAGATGGGAGAAGGGACTGTTCCCAGCTCCCAGAGTCGGCTCTTGGGGTACCCTCACCAAAACCCAGCTGGGAAAGCCCCTGTGGCAGCCCAGGGGTGAGGGGAGAGCTGCAGGGTCCCTTTGGGGCGTGGTGGTGTCGATGTGAACGAGTTCTGTGCCCTCAGCACCCCCTGTCTCCATGGCCACACGATGTCCGGGAGGTCTCCATCCCACTGCCCCCCTGACCCTCTGCCCCCTGTGCCCCCCTGCCAACCCCTCAGACATTTTTGTAGCAAGAATTTCTTGGCTCTGAGAAAGACACTTCTTACTGTAATATTTTTAGTTTCGGGGGACAATATTTCCTAAGAGGGGTTAAGTGGATATTTTTGTGCTTTAGCCCAGTTTATGGATTCCATGTTTATTATACAGTAGTACTGAAGAGGAAGTACATTTGTATCTGTAATTTGCACAGACTCTTGGTTAACCATTAAACAAGCTTCAAGATGAGCAGTATTTGACTGTTTTTCTCTGTATTATTCTTGTTGTTATACTTACCTGTAAAAGCACATTCTGTATGTACTGTAAACAAAAATATTATCAGTTTAGTAAAATTTAGAGTCTTAAGGATTTTTCCACTTTTGTCAGTAACAAATATTTATGGATTAAAAAATAAAGGCAATTTCAACATAGAAGTTGTTTCTTTTTGATATCTATTGAGGGGAAATAAAAGCCATTTTCTTGGCGGCCTTCCCAATATTTGTAACCAGCGTTTGAAAGGTAGATATCTGTGATTCTGTGTGTAGTTAAATAGCATCTATTAAAATGAATGCTGCAAGGTTTGCAGGAGTCATTATTTTTATGTATTTATTTACTGCATTTAATCATCAAACCAGAAAAAGAAGCAGGGAAGAAACAAGACATTACCATTTGCTGTAAAATTCTGTCTTGCAAGCCCTAAAGATTTTATTTTAAAGTTGCCCTTCTCTAAGTTTGCATCCATGAGCTGTGATATTCTCTCCATCTTTGCCTTGAATTGCAAAGTTGGGACTTCTGGAATGTCTGTAGGCTTCGACATGGGCTTTGCTTTGCTTTTGAACACACAGGAGTTTCCCCATCTTTCTTCCAAGATGTGAAACGTGCTGAGGAGACATTTGTGTGTCTGACTGAACAGTCCCCCATGCTACCAGAGGGTCAAACTGTATTTTCATTTCTCCCAGCTCTGAATTTGGGATTCCTTCCTATTCTGGCTGGCTGGGAAACATGGTGGGGATTTTCTCTTGCCTTTTGTGAAGGAAGAGTAGAATTTCATATTTCCTTTTTCACATGCCTTCAGCATCGTGAGGATTTGCTTACATGGAAAAATGGGAGAGTTGGGAATTGGGAAGGATTGCTGGAAATAAAACTGTTGAGACATCAGTGCCCTTTCCTAGCACAGCTCTGGGGTGCAGGGAGGGCACTGCTTCCCTCACAGCCCATCCTTGCACTGTAGGGCTTTGGGAGAAGCTCTTCTCACCCAGCTGTGCCACATCTCTGCCCCTGTCCCTTCTCTGCCACCTGGTAGCTCTGGCACTGAGGTTCAGAGGAATTCTGCTGCCATGTCATCCCAGGGCTGACACACCACAGGTCCTTTCCACTGCTGCCTTGGTGTGGTGCAGAGGTCCTCACTTCTCCACCACTCATCTACCAGGCCCCAAGCTCTGCTCTTTGCTCAGGGGTAATGGGATTGTTTAGACTGGAAAAGAAAAGACTCCAGGATGACCTGATATCCAATACCTGAAGGGAGATTACAAGAAAGATGGGAGAGACTATTTACAAGGGCCTGGAGGGACAGGACAAGAGGAATGGCTTCAAACTCACAGAGGGCAGGGTTAGATGGGATATTGGGAAGAAATTCTCCCCTGTGAGGGTGGTGAGGCCCTGGCACAGGTTGCCCAGAGAAGCTGTGGCTGCCCCATCCCTGGGAGTGTCCAAGGCCAGGTTGGACGGGGCTTGGAGCAACCTGGGCTGGTGGAAGGTGTCCCTGCCCATGGCAGGAGATGGGACTGGATGAGCTTTAAGGTCCTTCCAACCCAACCCACTCTTTGCTGCTCAGCTTTAGTGGACTAAAGAAGCTTTGAGGAGGAATACCCCACAATCATCTTCCAGAGGAGGTCCAGTGGGAAGACAAGGCCCTTCTCTAGCCCTTTGGCCAAGCTTGTGGTCTCCTGTGTCTGTGTGAGCAGAGCTCAATCAGTGAGACACAACCAGCCCTGCCTGAGAAACACATGAACCCAGCAGAGTTAATTAAAATGCATTTTTAAGGGAGAAGTTTCATTTTGCCTGGCAGTTCTATTCATAATTACTCAATTCTTTGTGGTACTAATAAATCAGGATGGAGCAATGGGGAATTAGCTGATTTCTCCACTTCCTATAAAAGGCATTGAGGAGAACAGCAGAATTTGTGGTGTTGAGAGTCAGTGATGACTGAGATGAGGCTGGGACCAATTCTTACCTCAAAAGACAGTGAATTCCACTGTTTCCAATCCCTGTAATAATTGATTTCAGTACTTAAGTGCAAAGCTCACACTTTGGTGACCAACCTTCACTCAAGCCATCCCCACTGGCCCCACTAAGTGAGCTCTGCAGCTTCTCTGCTGGTGGCCCAAGGTGGCTCAGGTGGCCTGGGCACCCTGGCCCCTGAGGAGCTCCCTCCAGGCAGGGTATGACTTCCTTGCACGACAGGAGGGACACTTTGGTGGATGACACAGAAGAGGACGAGCCCCTGGCCCACCCCAGCACAGTGTGGACCCCCAGTGCCTGTCCCTGCCTGGTGCAGCTGGGATTTCCCAGGCTGAGCTGGAGCCAGGCCCAGCTCATCCCCACACTGCCTGGGGAAGATCCCACCTCACCCTCGGGGGGACCAGGGCAGGCTGAGCAGGTCCCAGTGGATCCCCTGACTGGGGGAACAGAGCACAGAAAGGGCAAGGCCAGCTCTGGGCAGGGGCTCTGCAGAGGAAAGACCTTCCTGTGGAAGGACTGAAGGATGGGAATGGTGGTGTGGGTGTGGGGTCACCTGACGAACACTGAGGCTGGATTTTGTCAGCCACTTCTCCTTGGTGGCCACAGCTCGGCCACAGGTCCCAGAGCAGAGTCCTGGT